ACAAAGATTTGAGCAAGGACTGTTCGTGGTCAAAGAACTCAAGTTATCATCCGAGTCGGCTTCCAGGTATTTTTTTCTGATTGAGTTCTTAATAAATGAATTAATGAGATTAATTTATTCGTGTATAAATTAATATAATCTATAGAGTATCTCAAAGGTTTTGTGAAAATTTTTGTTATACACGATCCGCCTTTCCCCGCACCACCACGCTTCTGCAGCCGGATTCGATTCGGCAACCAACAAGTATGACTTTCAAAACACTATAAATAGCCTATTAAGTCACATTACTCATTAGATCACTTGAGAGACTTTTTGGAGGCTATTGATAAAAGATTCCTGAGAGGAAAAATTGTTTAATTCTTAAGAACAATTTTTTCTTTGGCTATCTTGTGATTGGAAGGAGATCAAGAATACCTAGAGGAGATTAAACGACGTGTGCCCACCCGCACACCGATTGTGGAAACGAGAATAACAAAGAAGACCAGTTGGTTAAGGCTCTTCCGGTTGCTGTTTGGAACGCTTAGATCTGTCAGACGTGCAGTTTCCTGAAATCTCAAAAAGGTATGTTTTAGATCTTTAGTATTTATGTTATATAGCATCATGAACATGTTCTTGTTTGGCTTTGACGTTGATTAAAATTTTTAAATTTCGCTGCGCACTCGATGCCATTAATTTTCCAACAGTTCCAATCATGTCTTCCATTCACAGATGAAGCATGTTGCGATTAATTATCATTTTATTTGGGATTAAGTACAAAGTCAAGCTTTACGTGTCACCCATGTATCCTCAAAAGATCAATTAGCCGATGTCTTGACCAAGCCTATTGCAGGCACTTGCTTTCAACTTTGAAGACTAAGATTGGACTCTCCACGGGAGCTCTATCTTGAGGAGGCATATTAGAGGAATTAATTTATTAATTATTTAATTGTGTATTTCTGTAATTATCTCATTAGTTTCCTATTTAGGTTTTGTAAATAATTTGAATTGACAACAAATCCCATAGATTAGGCAATTAGCTAGATTTAGAATATTTGATTGTCTATTAATTAAGATTGGGAAAACAACCCAATCTCATCTTGTACGTGTATATATACCTCATCTTTATTCAATGGAATTTGAGACATTATTTCCAATCTCTATATTAATAATTATTATTATTCTAAGTTTGTGTTAAAGTGAGGAGCAAATTTACAAAATTTTCATTTCAACAAAAAGGAAATTGCAAATTTGTTAATTTATCATCAATTTTTTCCTCAAAATTGAAATTAAAATAAGCATTTGTTTGATAAAATTAAAATAACTAATATATATTTAAATTTTAATATCATGCCTATTTTGGTGATCCTAACTTTGAAGAGCAATTCAACTTTCCAGTCTACTGAACATTTATATTATTAAAAAGTGACTTCAGGGAAAAAAATAAACAAGAGAAAACATTTTTTTTACTATTTGAGTGAAAATTAAGGTTAAAATTGTGTAGAAATAAATTAAACTCATTTATTGATGCTAAATAAAGGCCAAAAAAAAATTTCAATGACATATATGTTAGCGTTTATACCCTTAGAAATAAATGTAACAATATTCTTTGAGACATTTTGACTATTAATAAAGATTTATTTATTTTATATATCCATGTATTGTCTTCTTTATGTTCATATTAGTTGAATGTATGATAAGCAAATTGAAAGTTTGAAACTGTCATTCTAAATCTTTAAGTCATGCAGGTAATGAGAAGAACATGCGGAAGACAGGAATCTAAAGATGATAGTCTAAATCATATGATCCACAATCGAGGGAATAAAGTTGGGCGCTTTATTCATGTTAAGATTGTTATGTTGTCTACTTCCTATCGGAGACGGCATGTCTTGGTCGTTGGAGGTGGGTCTCCATGGGTAGAGACATTGATATAGTTTCTAGTTGTGAAATCTATATTGGGTCGGACCAAAGTTGAATTATTTTAATTAATAATTCTGTTTGTATAAAACAATTCACTTTTGACGAATTATATGTGGTCATTTTAATCATGAGATGGATAATGAACCCGTATGCTTGACTTGTATCCTTTGATGTACCAAAACGAGATATCCTGATATTATGAAAAGGTACGTTTACCGGCACATTAGGGGTATGACTCGTGTATGCGTAGATTTGTTATTCATAGATAGTGGAATCCATAGCTCTTATAAGGAGTTATGCATAGTAATTTTCTGATGGAGTGGTAATGGAATATAAGATAAATGTAATCGGAAAGGTAAAACAGAACTTGACCTTAAGTTGATTATGGATATTTTATGGGGATGATACACTTATATATTGAGTAATGGACGAGAGCTATTCAGATACAAATCGAGAGTGCAGCTCTAGGCTTTTAGTGAAGTAGTGCTAGAGTTTTATAATCATGAGACGGATTTGTTAGTTTACAAGTAGCGTTGTGATTATAAGAGCTTGATTTATATATGTCCATCGAGTCCCTTTGCTAGCTCACACAATTTCCTGTAACGATACAACATATTTCCTACATATTGGTAACTTGTGTTGTTTCCGTAAAAGAGGTTCAAAGTTAATATGAGATCGGTTAATTAATTCATGAGTAATTTATCGGGTGAATTAATTCTAGATAAATTTGTTGAATTAATGTTTTGGGTTGTTTAATTCATGAGTAATTTATCGGGTGGATTAATTGTTAAATTAATTCTAGATAAATTGGTTGAATTATTGTATTGATAGTTATTTAATATAGGTAGACTATTATATGACTGTTTTGATCAGACAACTTCTCTATTAGGTTGCTTGAATCAAAACTGAGGCTCTGTGCAAGTTTCCCGTGTTGAAAAACTAGAAAAACAAATTTTTCTAGTTCAGACAGGTCGACCGGTCCAGTCGACCGGTTCATAAAGGAAGGGTTGACCGGTGAGCTATAACGTCTCTGTCACCAGTCGTCCGGTTGTAACGCGTAGTGCATGCTGACGAGACGAAACCGACTCAGTAAGTGAGATAAACTTTGGAAAACCTAATTGTTACAGGTATATGACTTCTAAAAACACTATAAATAGCCCGGTAAGTCACATTATCATTAGATCACTTGAGAGACTTTTTAGGGGCAATTGGCAAAAGATTCTTGAGAGAAAAAATTATTTAATTTTCAAAAATGATTTTTCCTTTGGCTCTCTTGTGGTTGGAAGGAGTTCAATGATACCAAGAGGAGATTGAATGACGTGTGTCCACCCGCACTCCGATCATAAAAACGAGAATAGCAAAGAATACTAGTTGGTTGAGGCTCTTTCGGTTTCTATTTGGAACGATTTGATCTGTCAGACGTGTTGTTTCTTAAATCTCTAAAGGTATGATTTAGATCTTTAGTATTTGTGGTATATAGCATCATGAATATGTTCTTGGTTGGTTTTGGCATTAATTTAAATTTTTTAAAAATTTTGCTGCGCACTCGATACCGTATTTTCTAACAATATATTACTAAAAATGTTTTTTGATGCATGGAACGGTATTTTTGGAATTTTAAAGGTCTCGTTCATTTTACTGATTTGAGTTTTCAATTTTAATTTTGCTATAGTTAAAAATTCTTATAAAAAGTCATATCTAATTTTTTTATGACAATTAAAAGTTCTTTCATAAAGTCACATTTTAACTTGAATAAAAACTTAAATCAACGAATTAAACGAGTCTAAAAAAATTTAACAGTTAAATTTCAATCAATCTTCATGGTCAATTAAGAGAGGTGTCTCTGTAATGTTTTTAATTTTCACGGTCAATTAACATAGAGGTGTCTCTGTAATGTTTTTAAAAGATTAGGGAATGTTGATATGATTAATTTTAATTAAGAGGGAGGGCGTCTCTGTTATTATAAAATATAAAAGGCGTCAGTCTAATTAGCTTTTTTTTTTTTTTTTTTTGGCCGAATCACCGTGCTACACTGCACAATAACCCATTTAAGACAAATGATTAGCCTTTCAAGAGGAAAAAAAAAAAAAAAAAAAAAAGAGGGAATAAGAAGAGAAAGACCCAAGTGAAAAATATCTCCTCCCTTCTCTCTCTCTTTCCTGTTGACCTCTTCGTTGACAATCCAAGCCGGTCGCCGGATAAATGGTTCCGGTGACCGGAAAATTGCAGAAAAGCCCTCGTACTTCCACCAATTCGCGATAATCCCTCCAGCGGCTTCGGATTTTCCCATTTCATGGATTCCGACGACGACTACGAGACCAGAGCGAGTAAGCGAAACTTCCCCTTCCTAATACTCCGCTGGTCTCTCGCTCTCATTCTCCATACCCTTTCGTTCTTCGTCCTCTCCTTCTTCGTCGGCCTCGTAGCAATTTTTCTCGCCAATTCTTCAGTCTCCAGCCCGATCTCGGTGCCTTCCCAGTGCAAGATCGTCTCCAGCAGTGAGTTTCGAACCTTTTTTTTTTCCCCTTTTCTTAGTCTTTCTTGGAGTTCACCTTTGATGTGTTTGGCCGCCGAGAAATTTCGATGAGTTTTGAAGGAAAATAAGATTAGGGAAGAGCTTGGTTCTTTTTGTGCAAAGCTGATATAGTCTATGATGCCAAATAATTCTTAATAATTGCAACCAAAAATTTTAGAATTTATTGATTGATTTAAATAAACAACATATTCTGAAAAAGAGTGAAGAAAATAACAAAGATTTGTTTTTCATTTTTTTTCTGAGTGTGAAACTTTCCGAGTCTGAGTTATCAAAAATTGTTTTTGTGGTAGTTAACAATCTTACCAATTTATTTGTAACAAACAAAAACTTATTATATGCATACTTATGTGACATCACTGATTGGCATTTTTTTTTATTTTGCATTTTTATTGTTTTTCGGTTGCGGTTTTGTAATCAGTTGCTCGTGTTATTGAGTGAAAATAACTAATGACTTGGCTATTTGGTTCTTAAGCACCACCGAATGGAAATAGAAATTGCCCAAAAATCATTGTAGATCATACTGTTACATCCTGATACAGTTTAATTTTTTTTGTGTTTATATGACTGCATTTTGCTGGGTTCAGTTTAAGTTCTGTTGTTAATCTTCTATTGCATGTTACGTTAAAATCTCAATCAAATTGTAAACTTGACCTTTTCTTTTACAGGTGTGGATCTTAGGTCATCCAAAGTCTGCGAACTCGGGCTACTTAACTACAAAGCCAAGCATGTGTTTTACCCTTTTGGGAAAAATAAATTTCGCTGTCGCTATGATTATTATTGGGCTTCCGTGTTTAAGGTTACAGTACCATAACCTTACCTACACTTTTTATTTATTTATTTTTTTGAATTTTTTGAATTTTTGCAGCATTGTTCTCTTTTAAGATCTATATCTAACTTCTTGCAGAGAATTATGGCAAAGATATATTTCGTGCTTCTTATATTCGCATTGTGTTAGCATCCCGAAGATAGTTTTATATGCATGTGTATGTTTGTGTGTGTGTGTGTGTGTGTGTGTGTGTGTGTGTGTGTGTGTACACATACATATAGTAGATGGGTTACTTGAGTTATGCATTATGCAACTTAATTCTATTGGAGGTGTTATGGGTAACCTTAAGATGTATGTCACCGTCTGTCCTTTTTATTGCTAGCATATGGGTTTTATATTCTTTTTTAAGGAGTTTTCTCATGCATGTTATTTATTTAATTATTTCTTAAATTAAATTAACATGTTTGATTGCAGGTGGAATATAAGGATCTGTCATCAGGTGTCAATCGATTTGCATCTGCGGAGGCTCCAAATGAGGCCCTTCCTTTAAACTGCAGACCTAATTTCGGTGCGGCCTGGTTGAACAAAGATAAATTCAAGGTAAAATTACCAGGCTTGTTTCTCATTGTCATGTGCTACTTGGTGAACTTTCATTGTATTTATTACATTATAAATTTCTTTATATCTATTTTAATTAAGCTGGACCTTACCTAAGCTATGGTTGAAGGATTTTTGGTACTGCTTTTTCCTATTTCTTTGATAAACTCTGAACTGCTTATGTTCTTGTCACCTTTTATGGTTAGGTGAATGAAACGTATGACTGCTGGTACACACATGGAATTCCCAAAGTAAGCTTACCAGATGATGGATTTTTCAGTTGCCAAGCAAATGATCCATCGACCTTTGAGATGATCAAGAGATATTCAATCCTGTGAGTTTAGGTTATTTTAACCATTTGGTTTTATATCATGTAGCGGTCATCGTTGCATGAGACAGATTAGTTGCAAAGATATGCTAGTGTTATCAGTACCATAAATTGGGGATCACGAGTTCTTTTTTCTAGCCTGTTAAGATGAACATCTTAGCTTAGAATTGGAAAACTGGTCCTGTTCAGATCCCCGAGTACATATGGAATCATATTCTCGTTTCACGATTTGAAAATGGTATTCCACATTTTAGTTTGATTAATATGGTTAAGGGTTTATGGAGGAAATGCTGCCGTTTTGCTCCAAGAGAACCACTAGTAAGTAGTAATACAACTCAGTTTTGCTCTACAGTGAAGTACAGAAAGCTTTATGTCTTGGATACTGATACGTATAATTTGCTTTGTGGACATATCTGGTACTTACTAATAATTTCAAATATTACAAAAGAAATTTGGGATGGGAATATACTCATTTGATATCCCCCTAGACGCATCTCACTCTATAGAAGAAAGAATAGAACCTTGAAATAATATTGAAGCAGTTTAGCATACGATAAACCATGTAATAGTCTCGTAGAAGGGGTTTATTCTTTATTGGATTAATTAATAATATTAATGTTTTGTTCAAAGAATGGTTGCAATATATATGAATAGTAAAGAATGTCTGGCAAAATTTATTAGTGTGTGTACGTTATTGCCAGACTGCATCTACATATTGGAATTATTGTATTATCTTTTTTGTGCCTTATGGTACCCAGATCCTTTGACTTTGCTTCTTTGATTAAGTTATCTATTCATCGTTTATAATGAGATAACTATGGCGAGTTGATTTTTTTGGAGAGAAAGGACTTAAGAACGGTACAAACATCAATACTAGTTTGAAATATGGGTTATAAATATAGTTATTCTTGTACACTGCTAGATTGCATTTGCAGTTGTAAAGGCATCATATACTGTTGGAATCCGGCAGTCTTTTCTTCTTGGATGTACTGTTTAACGGGTTATTGCCAATATACATTTGGGCAACTTTAAGGCTTATTTTAGCAGCCCCCGCCCCCCGCGCACCCCCCAAAAACCCCCCCCATTTTTTTTTTTTGCCGGCGCTTACCTTAACCAATTTTTTAAGAGTAATGCTAGGGACACCAACTCAAATCCCAACTCTTGTGTACTAACTGATGTAGCACGTGAGTTGTCATCTTTTTATTGGTAGATGCAATCTCTTTCATTAATTGACGTGGTAATGTTTTAAATACCCACCAATAGAAAAATGACAATTCACATGCCACATCAGTTGGTATATAAGAGTTGGGATTTGAGTTGGTATCCCAGTATTTTTCATTTTTTAATGCATTGCTAGTGCTCGTGAGCTGATACAGGGTCTCCAATATTTTGATACCTATGTATAATCTTAGTATGTCTATCTCATTGCGAAACAATTTAATAAATGGAAGGTTAAATGTAAGTAAATTCTCTATAATGAATACCGTGATAGTCTCACTGTGAAGTATAGTCTGGAGGAATTATAACTTGTTCTTGAAAATTATTGTTGCCAGAAAAGATGGTGAGAAATACTTTTACATATAGCATCGACGAGAGCAACGATTTGTGTTGAGGAGGTTTCATCTTACTGTCTTGGCACTAAATGTACAATTGTTGTTAAAGTGCGCTTGTTTTCTCAGATCGGTGAAGGTGCTACAGTCCTGGCTTTTAAGCCGGGAAAAATCAAAGCATTGGAGGTGGGATGTGCTGGCTGGAGTTTTCGTTGGTTTCTCAACCTCCTTGATCTCGATCACCTTCGTTGTGTTCCTGCGACAACTGAAGTCTTCACTATTCTCCGCTGCGAAATCTCTTCTGCGAGCTTTTCTTAGAATCACCTTCACCCGCGCTTGCTTCCTTGTTGTATACTTCTCTGTTATGGCTTGGCTGGCTGTCCAGTATGGGAAAAGGATTGGCCTCTTGGAGATTTTCACAATTTTCAACAGCTAGGCAGCACTGTTTTTATGGTCAAAGTGCTGTTTCTTTTTTCCCTTTGCGGGATCTTTGAATTTGCAGTGTTGTAATTGCATAAAGAACTCGTAGATATACAATTTGTTGCTTATTGTACTCGGTGATGACTGATGATATAGATAGAATAGAATAACGTTGAGCCAAGAAGAGGGTTTGTACTGGGATCGTTGTCCTAAATAAGAAATTGTACAAAAAATTCTTGAAAATTTGGTCTTCATTGATATTTCCCTTCCCTATTAAGTCCCGATATATTGCTAGAAAGTAGAAAAAATGTATCATTCACCATAACCAAAAAAAAAAAAAAGGATAATAATAATAAACAATAATGAAAAAAAGAAACTTGTGAAATTGAATAGGATATCCAGCACGCGAAGAGAAGGAAAAGGATAATAATAATAAACAATAATGAAAAACGATAAGAAACTTGTGAAATTGAATAGGATATCCAGCACGCGAAGAGAAGGAAACTTGTAAAAATTAGTCAAACAAACTACTATGAGTCGCACGTGTTTTTATTTTATTTTATTTTTTTAATAAAACCTTTGCGTGAAAAACTTGTGGTGAAAAGAATAGGATTACATACAATTATGAAACTTGAAACTTGGTAGTGCTATAGATTTTAGAAAAATTACTTTCAGCTATGTTAAAAAAAAAACAGCTGTTATAAAAAGCAGCTGAATGTTTGGTAAATTATAATTATAGTAGTTTTGTTGGTTTCAAAATCAGTGTAATAGCGTATGGTAAATTATAAGGTTGAATTGTTTTGAATAATTAAAAATTATGACTATATTATATTATACTATAATATAATATATATAATTACAATATAATATATATTTATTATTATATTTAATATAATAAAACAAACTATTATTATATAATATATTATATAATTATGATATAGAATATAATAATATTATTAAAATAATAACGGAAATAATTAAAAATAACAATTATATTATATTATAGTATAATATAATATATATAATTACAATATAATGTATATTTATTATTATATTTAATATAATAAAAAAATATTACTATATA